AGGCTGGAGGTATCTAAATGTTTGTAATTTTTTGTTTCCTGTGTATTATACAAACAGGAATGTAAAAACATGTATTGCCAGACTGAAAGCTAAATGTTATTAAAATGAAAATAAAAGTAACTCATTCAAACATAAAATACAGATTAAACAAGAGAGGACATTATTAAAAAAAAAATTCTAAAGGGTATAAAGATCAGCTAGTAAGAATATTTTGCACCTTGGAAGAACAATACTTAAAAAAGAAAATCTGGTTGCTTAATCCATATCCATATCTATAAAACTCAGTAATACAGTTATTTACAGTTATTTAATAATATTTGTTAATTAACTATAAATGTACAGTTGTGTTGTCACTTTATGATTAAAGTCACTCAGATCAGATGTATTATTGTATATTATTCTTAATTCTTATATGATTGTATGATGGTGTATGAGATTAAACAGTAGCCCATATAATGGTTGTCCCTCTCCAATACATCTTCTTTTTCATGCACACATTTTTGAGTGATGAAAAAGGGTGGAATGTGAGGCCTACGGCCCCTAACAGTGAAAGTGAAACATGACACCAAACCACTTAAAGTGATTAATGAAGGGACTAGTTCGCAGTCCAGTCATGTTGATATATACTGTAGGTTGTCTTTTCTGTCGTGCAATTTTACAGTCTCAAAATCAGCTTCCCCACTCAGTTGTTATCTCTGTTAAAACGATGCATGTACGAACAGCAGCATAAAGCTTCATACTGTACAGCAGTGGTTCTCAAAGTGGGGTCCGGGGATCCCCAGGGGTCCTTGAGAAGGTTCCAGAAGTCCCCAGCAAAAAGAGGAATAATTTATTTTCAATATCATTCCATCCATAACTAACGCAATGACCGGATGTATGACTGCTTTGGTCATTGGTTTCATAAACTTTCTTTAATAAAATAAATAAAAGCAAAAACCCTATCAGATGAAAAAATCTTATCATATAGGTGTCCGTGGTCTAATTTGTGTCAGTTTAGGGGTTCTTGATGCGAAAAAGTTTGAGAACCACTGCTGTACAGTAATGCATAAAATATGATTATACTGTATTTCCTTATTTACAAAAATATATTTAATTTCAGTTGTATGCATGAATGTAGTTTGTTCCTTCCTTTTTCTAATATCTGACTTTATAAATGTATGAACCACATATGACGCATCAATACTATTACTAAAGATAATGTGTCTGTTAATTTTTATGTAGTTGTAAGCCTAGGATTGGGGGCCGGCAGTGTGACCGCTGTGCTGCAGGTTATTATCGCTTCCCTGACTGTATACCTTGTGACTGTAACCAAGGTGGTGTCACACCTGGCGTGTGCCACCCAGACACAGGGAGGTGTCTCTGCAAGGTGAGATAATTTCATCAAATTGCAGATTTTAAAAACTTTCTCTTATTCATTTTTTTTTTTTGTATTTCCTTGCTCTGACTTTCTCTCTGTTGTTGCTTGCGTGTTTGTAGAGAAATGTTGCTGGCATCAAGTGTGATACCTGTCGGGAAGGTTCCTTCTATTTTGACCCATCCAGCCCTCACGGCTGTACCAGCTGCTTCTGCTTCGGAGCGACTGACCAGTGTCAGAGCTCCAGCAAACGCAGGGGGAAGGTGTGTTTGTTTTTTGTGCCCCTGCATGTCTATGAATGCCTTTTGAAAAAGTTATGCCTGCAAAGCTTTCTGGCTGATAGCAGTTATGTGGTCTAGTCAAGTCAAGTCAAGTTTATTTATAAAGCACATTTAAAAACAGCCAGAGTTGACCAAAGTGCTGGACAAGTTATGCAGAAAAAGACGTAATAATTAAAAAAAACAGAAAAATAAAACAGGCCAGACAATTAATGGCATACAGCAAAACAACGCAGTTAGATACAAAATAGATAAATAAAGACACAAGCACAGGTGCCCCTAAACAGACTCAAACGCCAAAGAATAAAAATGTGTTTTAAGTCGAGACTTAAAAGTGTGGATGGTGGGGGATGATCTAATAATCAGGGGTAGATTATTCTCGGGGCCACCACTGAAAAGGCACGGTCACTCTTTGTTTTCATATGAGACTGTGGGATGGCTGAACAACGTCCTCTGTTTGATTAAAGCTGAACATGATGTTCAGGAAAACAAAAGGATCTGGGTATATCCTTTGATTCAGTAACCTCTGTTTTCAAGTAAAACTAATTTGTTTGTAATATTATGTGTGTATATATGTACATTATAAGCCCATAGAGTCAGTCACTTCAAATGTGAATACAGTACAGTTTTAGGATGGATTTTTTTCTTTAACCTCCAAATACTTCTTGTTATTAGTTTGTTGAGATGCGGGTCTGGCGTTTGGAAAGCCCCGACCAGGAGCATGTTCCCTCTGTGCTGAACACTGCCAGTAACACGGTGGTGGCAGACATCCAGGAGCTTCCTCCTACAGTTCAAACTCTACACTGGGTGGCACCATGGTCGTACCTGGGAGACAGGGTGAGTCTTGGACATAAAAACAGATACAATATTTCAATTTTATAGTTATTTTATTGAATCAAGCCAAAATAAAAGGCAATATTGAAAGAATATTCTAATTTTAATAGCTTTAATAGCTCACTCATCTGGAAACGTAAAAATAATATTAAAGTTAAAATTCTAGCAACTTTCTCTCAGTTTTGACTTCCTACTTCACTTACCATTGTGGCATGTGGGCCCAGTTTTTCAGTGCAGTTGTAGATTGTAATGGACATTTCACTTCAACTTCCTGTCACACCTTTCAGGTGTGTTTTCACTTTCAAATTCCGATAATTCAGTTGAACTGTTTTATACTTTTTTTGCTCTATCTTCTTTCACTTTCACTTAACTTATAACTCAATTTTAGAAATGTCACAGTATCCCTAAAATCTCAGTAATTAGATTGCTAGCTGAATTGCTATCATAACTGATAGAAATCATGACCTCATCTATTACTTCCTAGACCCACATTCTTCTTTAAGATAATTTCTGTATTCCAGTGGTCTCTGCAGTCCTTTAAGAGAAGCTGACAGATATTTGGGATATCTCTCTTTCTCTTAGGTTTCATCTTATGGTGGTTTCCTCACCTACCAGTCCAAATCCTTTGGTATTCCCAGTGAGGGGATGACTCTCATGGACAGAACACCTGATGTTGTGCTGAATGTGCGTAGTACAACTTCTTTCTTCGCTCTTAGACCTTTCACTTTTTTAAACAGCTTATTTATCCATCTCATTATTTCCTCCTAGGGTCGGAATATGACCCTGATCCACATGGCTTCACAAGTCCCATTTCCAGACAGGCTGTATCAGGGCAGAGTCCAGCTCTTGGAGGTAAAGTACACACCAGTTCTTCTAACTGACCAGATTCGATAGCACCACCAGGTTGTGATTTCAAAGTAAACCCATGATGTGAAAGTGTTGGAAGTTATGATGTCATCCAAAATTCTTTGAATTTCTAAAAGCAGTTAATCTTCTGGGGTGTGTAAATGTGTTTTTAAAGGTGCCATAGAATACTAATTTTCATTCATTTCATACTTGCACACTGCTTCAGCACCTGTTTTCACCCTCTGTCGGAACACTGCGTTTTAGCTTCTGTCTCTGAAGCCCCTCCCTGAAAGCACACTTCCTTCTGATTGGCCAACTTCCCAGAGCACAGCAGAGGGGTGGGGTCTAGCTGCACAGTGCATAATCAAGGCCTGCTATGAGAGACTAGGCCTCACTGATTACTGCTACACAACTTTACAACTTTATTCAGTGGTTTTGATGAAAAGGGTGTGAAACACTGGATCAGATTTGATTGAGAAAATAATGTCTGGTTTTGCCTCTGATGTACTCCGGCTGCTAAGCCCCCACTTTGGTGATTTACCACTTAATTTAGCTGCTAACTGCTGCTATCAGCAGCTGCTGCTAGATACTCAGTTAGTCGTGCAGCTAGCCATCCTATTGCTGATTCTGCCCCAAGCACTTTGAATTACCTTGTTGTTGAAATGTGCTATACAAATAAACTTGCCTTGCCCAATGAATGTTGGTGCTCCGGCAGTGTGTTGGTGTTTACACCTCTAATATTCGTACTGAAGCTCTGAGCTGCTGGTTCAGAACCAGCTGATAACAGCAGCTATAAGTGAATTGTTATCCTGATTATGATGCTAGAGGAGAGGTCAGGTCACCATGACCATTAGGATTCAGCCTCAGAGAACCATAAATATTCCTACCAAGTCTTGTCCTGCATCTAAGTGTTATGTACATCTCTTGTTTTAGATCATATCAAATCTAATGAAATATGACTTTTGAATATGGCCTGTAAAGATTTCTTATTAGTCACAAAATAACCGATATGTTGTCTGCAGGGAAACTGGCGCCATGCTGTCACAAACAGGCCTGTCTCCAGAGAGGAACTAATGATGGTCCTAGCCAGTTTGGTTGGCTTGAGGATCCGAGCCTTGTATTTTACTCAGACCCAGCGACTCAGCTTAGGGGAGGTGGGCCTGGAGGGGACGACTAGCACAGGGACTGGTGGTCCTGGAAACACTGTGGAAGATTGTTCCTGCCCCCCTCAGTACACCGGAGAATCCTGTGAGGTGAGTTTAAAGGCCATCAGATATCTCTCAATACTGCTAGTCTTTATTTTTACTTGAATGAAAAGAAGGTGTAAAGGCGTGTTGATAAATGTTACAAGATTCTATGATTATTCACTATAACCAGTGTGCATTTTTATCATCAAATAATAGTCTGTATCAAACTTGGTTAAGAACACAACACACATGAAAAAATAAGCTCATATTTAAAACAAATTAAGTGTAGCTTCATTAAAAGCTTTGCATGTAAATTTATCCTGTCTTGGGTGTGGACAAAAACTTGGAAGGAATCCGGCCTCATTGACATACTGAAAAAAAGTACATCCACATAGGTGTATAGACAAACTAGAAAAATATGGCGACAGGTTGGACTAATCAGGATCATTTTGTCAGATCTGAGAAGCAGTGGAGATAACAAGTAACAGGGCATCTTGTCATTTTTGAGGACCCGGACCTCGGACTCATATTTTTAGCGTGTCCTGACATGCCACGACCAAGTACCTCACCCTTGTTCCTAGAGGAAAAATCGTCATCTGAGGAGCCTTGGGTGGAATGTACTGGAAAATACCAGTCGGAGAGCTGCGCAGACAAATTGTGTAGCCCCAGGCTGGGATATGATGCACAATCACGCAGACATAATATTAGTGATTGTACAGCTATAATCACTGGCATGGCTACAGCTTACAGAAACATAGTACAAACAACCATGATGTGGTTGCTAAGGGTTTTTCAAAGCTTGAATTCCTTTTATCTTGGGAATGGTGCTGACTTGACTGAGTGTGTTTGTGCTTCTCAAATCTGATTTGTATACACGTAGTTGCAACAGTTAAAGTTAAATTTAAATTAAAAATGAGAATAGAGCAACCACTAACTAAAAAGGAGTTTTTTACGTAACCAGGAGCATTTATTAGTGGAGAGAAACAGTAAGAAAACTTCCGTCTTTGTGGGAGTGCCACAGACGTGGTTCCCTACCTGTGTGTGCGTGAGCCATCGTCTGATTATACGTGCCCAGAGGCGGTATGACAAGGTGCCTCGCCTTGACACGTGGGGTGTGGTACTTGGCAACACACTGTTACTCATAAACCTGAGTATGTTCTCCTGAGTGCACCTACAGTTTGTGTATGTGTCTCTAAATACACCCGGCACACCTAGTTTTGTCTGCTTGTGTGTTTGAGGAGTGTGATTCAGGTGTGAGTTTGTTGTCTGAGGATGTCTCACTTTCCTCTCAGTCACATACCCTTGCACAAACGTTATAAACACACACACACACACACACACACACACACAATATTACAGAATATTAAGACACTGTTGAGTGTTTTATTTGCTTTATCACCACAACCCTGCAGCTTAAATTAAACACAGCTGCATTTACAATAGTGTGTGTGCATGCTCGTGCACGCACCCACATTTTACTGTCTGAATATGTCTCAAGCAATTCTGTGTATGTGTGTGTGTGTGTGTGTGTGTGTGTGTGTGTGTGTGTGTGTGCGAGAGAGGCAGAAAAGGTGAGAGAGAATGCATGTACACACTTGCAATGTGTGTGCTTGTTCGCCTGCACATACTCATGCTCATCTGCAAGACTGACTCAGGTAGGAGATGGGGCGTGTCCTCTTTGTATTTGTGTTTAAGAGGCTGAGGCAGGGGAGAGTGGAGTGTTATTTCACACAGACTAAACGCTAGGAATGTCCGATACGCGTATGGATAGACGGCGGTGTACGGGGGGTTTGTTTCAGACCCTGCTATGCTGGACTTTGATTGGACTTTGCTGCGCTGGCCACAGGCCCTACGAAAGAGGGGAGCGACCCCGCTACACCAGGCATCATGACAGATGGACTCAGGGAACTCAGCGGATAGAGTATCCATCAGTGAATGACGAAGGTACCCAGGTGGTACGCTACCCCTCGGTATATGACAGAGGACAGGCAGTTCACTATCCCTCTGTTAATGACAGTGCCAGTTCTCAGATTCAGGTAAAAATCTGTGAAGACGTGATGTATCTTGTTGTTGAAGGGATGTTGTTTTACCCTAGCTGTAGGTTACACTTCTCAACGTCTCAGGTGTGGATTGCTGGAGACTGTTATCTCTGAAAGCAAAGGGCATGTTTTGGCTCATTGCTGTTAATTGTTAATGGCGCTTAATCCAGGTCAAGTTCACTGTTGTGTGCTCTGCAAATTCTCTTGCTCTATGACACAACAAGCAGTGCTATCTGGGAGAGTAGCTCTGTCTGAATCTCTGCTATGTAAAACAGATTAAACATAAAATAAAAGGAATGTCATGTTTACAGTTTTAGTGTCTGCTAAACTGCAGCAATATTGTGATTTTTCTTTTTACATGATATCATTCAAGGTTGGGCAATATTATGATGTATTATAGATATAATGTGTCAGCAGTTAGAGACTTACGATATATTAACATTCTTATTAATTGTAGTTACAGTTAATGTTGCAAATCATTGAACAGGACTGCTTTTTACCAATTGTTTACTGAGTTTTTACATCATTGTGATGAGCGACCTTTGTTCATTTTGGTATTTAACCCACTGGATTTTCCAACAGACACTCCTGTCTGGTTATTTAATCTATGAAATGTTTTTCAATAAAATTTCCAGATAATATACTAATTTCATACCGATAATTTCATTTCATATCATGATATATATTAATATTGTGATATAAAAATAACATGATAGCAGATTTTAGTAGATTGCCTACTCCTAGTGTCATAATTGTTCTAATAACATAAAGTTTCTTTTGAAACAGTGGTATGCCTGGTTATATGAGTTATACTTGTAAGCAGTAATTTCATGTCTTTATTTATTTTTTATTTTTTTTACAGAAATGTGCTCCTGGTTACTACAGAGATGGCAGTGGGCCTTACCTGGGCCGCTGTGTGCCCTGTGAGTGCAACGGTCTGTCTGATGAGTGTGAAGAAAGGACAGGGAGGTGCCTGGTAAGGAACACACTCAACCCTTAACCTTTATAATGGCTTCATGACTACAGGTACACAGTAGACATCCACCCACACATAAAAACAAAAAGTGGTTACTTCAGCCCAGCTGACTCCAGTGTGAGCCACAGTTTAGTCAGTCTAGACCTCTGACCATCATCTGAGGACCAATAGCTTTGTGTTCATCACCACTCCAGAATCATTATTTGATATGGCTTCCTGATTTCCTGTTACGGAGCCCCTCTAGTTCATTACTCTCCGTGATGGGAGGATGAGCCTTTACGCAAGACTGGGCCTGTGTGTGCAACGTAAACATGGATCCACACCCTAGCGGCTCAAAGCCAAATGGACACAAATTTCAGCGTAAATTGTAACTCAGCGCTGAGTGCATCAAACAAACTTTTTGACTGATTGGCAGGGAAATGTCTTTTCTCTTGGCCCCCAGATGTCCTGCTTCAGTGTAATAAAAGAGACATGATGTCTGGTTGAGTTGGTACGGCATGTCCGTAGAAGGCTTGCTGCAGGCCACACTAGTACTTGAGTGTTGATTTTTTCACATTGTCTGGTTTTATGCTTCTTCACAACTTTCATTCCTCACATTTAGTTTGCAAGTGGTTTAAAGCAGCGGTTTTCCAAGTCTGAGACAGTGGGCTTCCCTTAAGACAAAGCTTGGAAATAGGTGCCTCCTCACACCCCGTTAGTTTACTTGCTTAGTTTTGCTCAGTTTGTGGATGCCTATGGGATCATGATTGAGTGATTTGATAACATAGACACTGAACAATTGAGCCAAAAGAGCCTAAAATTGGTGTTTAACGCAACTTCAGACTACACCAAATAGATAACAAAGGTCTGTCCTAAGTAGGGACAGGAAAGTAGGAAAAGCAGTAAAATTCTACACACTGAGGCTGTTCTATATGATGTCCTTTTGATTAATGTAATAACTAATGTTATACCCCCCCCCCCACACACACACACACACACACACTTTCAAAACCTCCGGTTTAATGAATAGATTATGTCATTTTCAGAACTGTCAGTACAACACAGCTGGGGACAGATGTGAACGCTGCAAAGAAGGTTACTATGGGAACGCGGCTCAGAGGACATGCAAAGTTTGCCCGTGCCCATTCAGCGTGCTCACAAACAGGTGGGTGAAGAAAAAAAAAACTAAACAGCTGTACTATAATTAAATTGAAATGTGTATTGAGTGAGAATGAAATCATGATCTCTCTGTCGATCTGCAGTTTTGCAATAGGTTGCCGAGAGGTGTTTGGAGACTTCCAGTGTATATGCAGAGCAGGCTACACTGGAGACAGGTGTGAGAGGTGAGTGACTGTATGGACAAATAAGATTAACAGGCCAATTAATGATGTTGAAATACTGTGCAGAAACTGTGCAATTTGTAATACCGTAGGCTTATTTCTATTTTGCCACTTATTCTGTCTTACTTATTTCTCTTTCCATTAGGTGTGCTCCTGGTTACTATGGTCATCCACTAATATCAGGAGGAAGTTGTCGGCCCTGTAATTGCAATGGCAATGGTAACAACTGTGATCCCACGACTGGAGGTTAGATTGCATTTTGAGATAGTGCATGAATTCTGCTAAATTGTAGTTCAATTTACATACTGTTTATAAATTCCTATACCTCGTGAACTATTTTATTTTAATGTTCTTTTTTTACTCTTCCTCCAGTTTGCAAGAACACACTGGAGCCGGGCGACACAAACACAGATGAGCACTGCCAAGGTGAATTAACAAAACCAACTGAGGTCTGATGCTGTGACATGCAGTTTAGACTAAATTGAGTGTGCTCCTTTGCTAATCCAGTCCTCTTGTGTATTCCAGAGTGCGACAGTTGTGCCCAGACTTTGCTAAACGATCTGGAGAAGCTGGATAATGAGCTGGCAAGGATCAAAGCTCAGCTAGACAACGCCAGTGCCAGTGCATCCTCCCGGGACAGGCTGAAGAAGCTGGAGAAGGCCGTGTCAGACACCAAGGTAACATGCCAGTGTACTGTAAAGCTGATGATACACGGGGCAAATTTTTGAGCAATGTTGCTGGGCAATCTTGCTAGCGGCAAGTCCGACTATGTTTTGAACGGATAGCGGCGGTGAAGAGCGGGTGGTGGAGTGGTGGGGGAAGGGGATTACGGTAGTAATCTTTACTCATTACCAATGACGACAATGTTGCCCTGCACGATTGCTCTAAAAGTTGCTCTGTGTATCATCAGCTTTACTCTGAAGGCTACAGATAGGGTTGAAGACAAGGTGAAGGGCACAGATATTTGAAAAAATAATAGATTCATTGTAGACACAAAAATCAAGAAATGATGCCAAGTCCGGATGAATGCTGACCGCTTCCTGTGCATACACACTCACACATACACACAAACAGCATGGTCCAGGATGGGTGTGCTTGTTCAAACATTTGAGATTCCTGCTGATAAGCAATCTCAGTGAATTTTATCCCATAGCCGGTGTGTCGACTCGAGTTAGGGACCACACCACTGGATGCCAATGTTTGTCCGACTGACTTGTCATTTCTCATTCTCTCATAATCTCAGTGTTACATCCACTTTGTATGAGTGTGCATCCTTTGTGCATTCATGAGACACACGTGAATAATTCCCACAGTACAATCTTAACAGGCCCCATCAGCCTCAAGCTTCAGTTCACCCTTTACAACATCTGCCTTTATGCATCTTAATTTACATTTCTGCTGCTGTGCTTTTTTTGCAGATTCTTGTCAACAAATTCAACTCCGCCATCAACACCCAAAGGTCCAGAGTCACCCAGCTGGAAGAGGACACAATCACTCTCTCAGATGACATCAGCTCCCTCAAAGACAAGGTAGTATGCTGGAGACCTTGCATTTCTTAAAATATCAGCATGCAATAATAATTGTGCAAATTGTGTGTAAATGTCATTTGTTGGTATGCGTTTTTTATTTAGGCAGATAAGAGGGCTGCTGATGCTTACAAAGCAGTGGCAGATGTTGGGAAAACCCACAAGAGGGCTAAAGATCTGCACTCAGAGATTCAAAACCTTCTCAAGAAAATCCAAGGTAAAGCCAAAATTTTGTCAGCTCTGTCTTTTCTGTCTTAATGTCTTGTTTTTAAATTTCTTTTAAACTCCTTTTTTCTTTCTGAATTTATATTTGGTTCATCTGCATATATAGATTATATATATAGGTAATTTAATAGTCTCCAATAAAATATATTTAATGGCACTGAGTGTGTGTGTTTTTGTTTGTGTGTGTGTAAAGCTCTGCTGGAACAACTGAAGGAGTCAGGCACCAGAGGTGATACGGTGCCCAATAAAAACCTGGCTAAAATGCTAGAAGATGCTCAGCGCATGGTGAAGGAGATGGAGAATAGGAACTTCACCCCTCAGAAGACAGCTGCTGAGAAAGAAAGAGACAATGCAGAGAAACGTACGATACCTAGTCTACACTTCAGTCAGTCATTAGAATCTTGCGTGTGGGGAGCAAACCCCTCCAGAATTGCTTGATTAAAGAATTGGTCTGGTTGTATAATGTTGATTGGAGACTGCAGATTGGTCAATAACATTTCCATTCACTTATTCTATTCAATTTTCTAGTGCTAGACTACATCAAGGCTAATGTAAGTATGCAGTGTGACCAGAATGAGGCTGCAGCAGAGAAGATTCGGGGCCTTCTGAAGGATTACGAGGCCAAGCTGAAGGAACTGGACGAGGCTTTGAAGGAGGCGGTGGACTTTGTGAAAAAAGCCAACGCCCAGAACGGACTGAATGCACAGGCACTGGCAGATCTGCAGGTATTAACTCACACACAGGCTTGTTGGTTAATGGTTAGTAAGGAAAAGAAATTCTAGTGAGGATCATATGTATACAAAAGGTTATGCATTTATTTTATTAAAAAAACAGAACATAAATGATGATTGGGGATGTAGAATACAATGCTTTACAAGATAAAAGTGTTAATTACATTTTTGTATGAAAGTTATAGTAAGGTATTATGTAAACGAAAGTAAAGAATGCCATGCATGTTAGTATTGCTATTCATAGTTGTTAGACAGTTGTACTCTAAATTGACACATGTGCTCCCTACAGAAACGTATTGAAGACTTAAAAAATGAGCGGGAAACTGTTGAGGACCAAATGGCCATGGCAGAAGATGAGCTGCAGAAAACAGAGGATTTAGTGAAAATGCTATCCGACAGTAAAACGGTATGCTTGACAAAATGTAGCCTGCATGTTCCTCAAATGTTCCCTGCGCTCCTCAAATGTTCCCTGCACTCAAAACTACACGCTTACATATCTTATATTTTGCCACTTCTTAGTATAAGCAAACACATTTAGACAGACTTTAGCTGAAAAAACTGCCTCATCTCTGATACCACCCAAGCAAGCTGCCAGGTCCTAACATGCCGTCTGCTCAGATAATGATCTGTGTTTTTTGCTCGCTGTGCTCTGAGGTGAGGTAAATGGCATTTCCTGCTGTTATGAATAGCTTGTACCCAATCGCCTGTCATTCACCTCTGTAGGATTATGAACAGCTGGCAGCACAACTGGATGGTGCCAAGACTGACTTGACCACGAAGGTGAATGAGATTACCAAGGCAGCAGCCAAGAAGGACATTGTGGAGGCTGCAGAGGAACATGCTAAGAACCTTGACAAGCTGGCAAGGGAACTTGAGGAGTAGGTCTTTTGTACATAAAATATTGACACACAATCTCATTGTACCTGAAGTCTAACAAGTGGAACATTGTCTGTTGTTTCCAATAAAGGATAGTCCGCTTTGTTTTCAAGATGTGTGTTTGTGTCCCTTGTGTCCCTTGTTATCCTGAATTGCAGTGCTGTAAAGAATGCAAGTGGACTGTCTGAGGTGCGTGGTGCCAAAGACGCTATTGATGCCTACAAGAACATCACAGATGCAATTAATGCTGCCGAGGCTGCAGCTAATGAGGCCAAAGATGCAGCGGACAACGCCTTGAACGTAAGCCACAGGCTTGATGCCTTAAGCGTGAAGTAACTGCACACTGTTCTTGGAATGATGTCAAAACTTTTGGAATAATGTTTCACTTTAACCAAATGTTGTTTTTTTCTTCCTGTAGAATGTAAAAAAACAGAAGCTGACACAAAGAGCAAAAGACCTGAAAGAGACTGGAGATGACCTAATGCAGAATGCAATGCAGGCACAGAAAGACCTCCAAGGTATTCAGCCCTACTATTAAACTGTTGTTTTAAAAAATGACCCAAAAGCTCAGTCACTAATCCATGCTTTTCTTTAACAGGCGCCACAGACAGCATTACTGATGTGAAGAAGCGCTTGGAGAACGCTGAAAAGAAGAAGAAAGCTCTTCAGAAAGACTTGCTTGATGCTAAGAACAAATTAAATGGCATCAAGAGAGGTAGAACAAGTCATGACATTATATGATCAGCATGACTCTTTAACTGATTGTGCCTTAGTCTGTTGCCAGGGTTCATACTTCCTCTTCATCTCTCCTTATTGTTAATTTCTCCAAATTAGATGATATAAGTAATATGATTGATGAGGCCAAGAGGAAGGCAGCTGCAGCCAATGGCTCAGCAAGCGACACTATGGACAAACTGAATGCCATGAGAAAGGAAATTGACCAGATCAGTGTCACTCCTGGGAACTCCAACCTGAGCGGCGTGTTGGATGATTTGGACCAGTCAGGTGAGATTTTGAAAATTCTACTTTTGTACCTTATGGTACAGAATAACCAGTTCTTATATATTAAACATTTAACATTTAAAAGTAAAGATGCTGCATTTTTTACGACTTACAGTTAGTTTTCTCCCTCTTACCTTATGCTTCCAGTGAAGAACTTGTTGAAAACCATCCCATCTCTGAATGATAAGATCTCAGAGGTAGAGAACCTGACCTCGGAGTTGTCCCCCATTAGCAACATATCTGAGAACATTAAGAAGATCAAAGAGCTCATTGAACAAGCCCGGGACGCAGCTAACAGGGTGAGGTCCCACTCTGTAAATCCATCCATAACCAAGCCCAAATCAGACCGACTTGTCTCCTATTTTTCCTCGATGGGTCTAATTTCCCTTTTTGTATGTCTTTTCTCCAGATTGTGATCCCGATGAAGTTCACAGGTAATGGCCATGTGGCGCTGCGTCCACCAAAGAATCTGGAGGATCTGAAGGCCTACACATCCCTGTCTCTTTCGCTGCAGAGACCTGCAGGTAGGGGAGATGGAAGACGCAGACGCAGACAGACCATAGATGATGGAGACATGTTTGTGTTGTACCTTGGCAGCAGAGATGTAAGTTGCTCCAAATGCATATGAATATTTTGATATAAAGATTTAGCTTGTGACTGTACACAAGGCATTAACAAACGGTGTCTTGTAGTCTTCTAAGAACTACATAGGTATGTTTCTGAGGGAGAATGTGCTGTACGGCGTGTACAAGCTCAATGGAGTCGAATACCAGATGAAAACGGGTTACATCACCACGTCTGCGTCTGAGCCGGCCAAGTTCGATAGAGTGGACCTGCGCAGGTAAACTGACAGCTTAATTATGTTGTCATTAACTTGTTTTCTGTTTTGTACAGAAAGTATAAATGCACATTTATGGCATTTTACTATACATGTCTGTATTTTAAAGTGAAAAGAGCAAGATGTGTAAAGAATGTGAATGATGTAAATGTGATGAAAAGATGGATATTTTTTTTCCTCTCACAAATTAGAATTTACCAAGATGCAACGATGATTCTCACCAAAGATATCACCTCAACCACACCCGAGGACCCAATTGAGAGCAGCAAGCAAGGAGAGGAGAGCAAGAACCTATTGGAACTCAATCCCAGTGATGTAGTCTTCTATGTTGGAGGTTACCCTGCCAACTTCACTGTAAGCGGCAAGGAAATAAGAATAGCAATACAGTTATTTTTTACAATAATTTTGAACTAGAATGAGTTTTAGTAATACTTTTCTCTGTTTTGCTTCTCCTCAGCCACCAGCTTCTCTCAAATACCCCATGTACAAGGGCTGCATTGAGTTCTCCTCTTTTAACGACAAAGTCGTCAGTCTATATAATTTCCAAAAGGCAGAGAAGATCAATTTGGAGACACCATGCAAGAGGTAGGTCCAAGTATGATTAGTGTTGAAAGTAACCAAACTCCTATTATTTTTTTAAACTATCAACATGCTTCTATGATTTTCTGTAATGACATTATTTCGGCAGCAAAAATCCCCAAAACAAAACAGGTAGTGTGTTGTATTGTATTACCATCTAGTATGACATTTTCTGACTCTACTGCTACTCCACCCCACCCCAGTTTTTCATGTTATCCCCATGAATGGCCAAAAATTTCCATCCCATCGCTCTTTGGGAGCTGCACAAAGATGTGACATAAAGATGAGCAAGATGAGATTCTGTAACCAGAATCTGAATTTTTATTTAATATTTTTTTCTGACTTTTCCTCTCCTCAATCCAGATATGTACCTCCAATGGATTCTGACTACTATGAAGGCACTGGATATGGCAAAGTGGTTATAGATAAACCATCTTCAAACCTCATCGTCACTATTACCGTCTTTACTCGTTCAGAAAACGGTTTGCTCTTTTACATCGGAAGCGAGGTAAATGTTTGTTCATATGGTTACTTTATAAATCTTACATTTGAATGCCATTTAGCAGAATTATATGTACAATTTACAATCATTTTATTTATCTATTTCCTCTTCATAGAACGATTACTTTACTGTGACGATGGAGAAGGGTGTAATTTTTCTACGTAGTAATTTGCTCGAAGCACCAGCTACAAATAACGGCAAAATATTCCCGGTGAGAGTCTTTTTTTTTTCTACAATCACTCTGGTTCTTCCTTGACAAGTACCATTACTCAACCAGATAACATTTGTAAATAAGTCATTCAACCACATCTTGCTACTCCTTTCTTTAGAAGGACGACTGGGCGGAAATCCTTATCATTAGTACGAGCAAGGGAGATATAAAAGTCCGGATGTCCCAAGTAGACGTGGCCTCAGCAAAAGCTACATACAGCAACAGTGACTTTAAAGAATTCTATATTGGTGGTGCCCCACAAGACTTGAGGGAAAGGTACATTTAATCAATTATCAATTTTGTGTTGTGAGTTTGGTGGTCAACCTTTTCCCACTTTATCGAGAATAACTTGATTTTCTGTTCTTCCTCGTAGAGATAACATCACTATACAACCATTCAAAGGATGTTTGAAGAATGTGAAGCTGAATCAAGCCTTTAAACCTGTTACTGAGCAAGTGGGCATCAGCAAAGGTTGTCCAAAGGAATCCTTGGTAGGACGTTAACCTCTCTGCATCCCAAAGCCACGTTTATGTGTTAGCTAATTAACTCATGTATAATATCAATGTTGTTGTCCAGGTTACTCGTAAAGCAGAGTTCAGCTTGGGGAGCTCCCTGTCCGCTGACCTCAAAGGCTTTAGTCTGGCTGCTGACGTTACTGTCTCCGTCGGATTCAAGAGCACAGAGAATGAGGGTCTCATTCTGCAGGACAAACAGCTGGTCAGTCCTTGCATTCGCTTTGAAATCTGATGCTTTAATTGTGACTTTTGAGATTGGATTTGTGTGAGGTAGAATTAAAATTTTTATTTTGTTTTCCAGGCTAATGGGATTGATGTTCAATTAGAAAATGGCTATGTGATTCTCAATTTCAACAACAAGATCTGGAAATCAAACAAACAATATCATGATGGCCAGTGGCATTATTTGACTGTAACCAAAAGAGCTGGAAGGTAAGAAACTAGTCTGTGGTTTGGTGCGATTATTATCATAATTTTTTTTAAATAATTCAAATATTAACTAACTCTGGCAAATACTTAATTACTGCTTGAATCTAAAGCTATTGTGAAAAAAATAACATGATGATTTTTCTGAACAGTGTTAAGCTGCTTATTGATGACGAAGACGTGGGTCAGGAGCAGAGTGGCAGCTCTTCCACACCTGACACGGGTGGCTCCCTTTACCTGGGAAGAGAGAAGTTCAAAGGCTGTGTTTCCAACCTCTACACAAGACGGTAATATTTCCTCACTCTCTCCTCCCTCCCTCTTTGCATGTCATAGCTACATACTTTTAAAATACCTCAGGATTTATGCAACTTACAGCTTTTATTATTATATTATTAATGTCACACAGTAATTGTTTGTGCACCAAATATCTATTTATTTTAATTTATAGTGCTAATATTGTATTTCTTCTGTTTGCAGGCCAGACAATCTGTATAAAGCTGAGGACTTCAGCAACTTCCAGGCTTCTGGAGATGTCTTGCTGGATATGTGTACTGCTAACAGTCCTCCTGAACTGATGTTGGACCGCTTCTCTAGGAAGGTGAGTGTTTGTCTTACATGCTGCCAGATGCTATAATTCACTTAAGTTACTTATTTTAGCAATCCTCCTAATATCGTTTTTGTAAAGAAGTGTAAAAGCCTGACATTTGGATTAAATAATTGAATTTTTTCCCCCAAAGCAAATCAACTTGGTTCTCTTTTCCTTGAATTAAGTGGCATTATTGTTTAACCAGTAGAGCAATCCATTTTATTTGAAGGTATAACTGTCAAAACTAGCATGTAAATCATGGTGAGTTAATGATTCATTTCACTCACTAGCAATAATTCATACCCACCTTTCTCTTTGGTAACTTTATTAAATTTGGACTGTGAACCTACTGTTTAATACTACTGGTGAATTAATAATCACACAGTGTTTATCCTCTGTTGACATTGTTTACATTATATTTTGCTGCCTTATTTCCAGAGATGAAGAAGGAGGAGCCCTAAGACCTGCTGATACTGACAAGAATATAATGACATGAAAAACTGGCAGTGTTCACCACAATGTTCTGCTGCTCATGCACACGCCCATTTATCTGCAGTGTACTTAAATAAAAAAGTTGCATGAACATTCCAAATAATCAAAATAAGTATTAAATGTATTGTATCTCTGTCTATTCTATTTTTTGAAAAAGTCCAGTAATTACAAACAAAAACTTGTGAATAACAAGCTTGAAATCAAGTCATGTCTCTTTTCTTTCTTTCATGTAACTCAGTCATTTCTAAGAGTCATTCACAAGCACGTGCCCTCTAACTCACTTTTGTCACACTAAATGGAAGCACTCAAACACAAACATGCCTGATTATAAAATGATAGTAACTTCACTATAAGTTGATATCCAACATACACAGCAGGATCTGCATCTGAGTTTCTCAACATTATTTGGCCCATGACCCTGTTTTACCTGACAGAATTCAGGTGAATGTAATTATGGCATATTATTTTACTTACATACTTACTTGTATTCTACTTTTAATAACATTGGGAGATACAAATTATACATTTCAAATATATAATTATTTGAAATTAAAATGCATGTCAAATGGAAACTCTTTCTGTTGTGGGCCAGTAAAGCTCTTTGAGAGTGTGTATATTATACAGGGCTACACAAATAAACTTGACTTAACAACCAAATTTAAATTGATCAGTCTTCCATCTCTTGAAACTCCGAAAGGGATTCCAGCATTAAGGCTGAGAAACACTGATCTACATAACTATACATTAAGTAGCTAATGAGAAGTGTGGAAGCATGAAATGTTGGTATTGCACAGCTAAAATAGGCCTCACAATGAAATTACGTTGAGGCCTAGTATGTTCAGACACACTATCTTTTTACATTCTCAAAAGCATGATTATATAATTTCTTCAGCTCACTATACCTTGCATGCTCATTATAATTTACTAAGCTCTATGTTTTTTGATTTGGAGTTACCACTACCACAATCTATTCTCCAACAACCTCTGACCCACAATAAATTGCCTGAATAATGAACTCTCAGCTACTGCATGAGTTCATACAAGTGCAACAATCAGAAAGGAAAAATATAACCAAAGGAGTAACAAAAAGCCAAAATATAGTAGGTGCTGTGAAATTGATTAATGGGGTTCTCATACTGCATTATGCAATATCTTGTGTAAGCCGGCCCTCATCCATTATTTCTATAATATCAGGATTACAGGAGCCATTTTAATAAGGTCTTTAAATCCATTTACAGTTTTATAATCTCTGTGACTCTACTACAAGTTCATCCCTCTTAATGTCAGTCTGAGTGTATGCCAAACTGAAATCATTCTAAATAAAATTAAGTAATTTCCTGCATGCTTTACTGAACAGCACAACAAGCACAGTTCAAAATTCCCAAAATTCCTGTGTCAAAACACACCTCTGAGTCAATACAAAGTTTTTGGGGGTTGTTCTACTATGACACTCTCAATGTAACCAAAACCATCTAACGCATTTATTATTTAGTACCTGTAATTACAAGATCCATACCGAGCTTCCAGTTATCATCAATACTAACTACATGAGTGATGAAATCATAACTACCAAATTAAACATGGCTATCAAAACGGTTACATGCTGATAGTTAACTCTCTTTGGGAGACATCTACTGTATTTCTGCTCTGCATAAGAACATTATTTGAACAACTGAGTGGTTGAGCAGCAGAAAATGTATCTTAATTTTTTTTATTGTTTAAGGCATTTTAAAAGCTAAACTTCAAAAAAAATATTCACAGTTTCCAGCTTTGCAATTGAGAATGTTTACTGGTTTTCTATGTCCTCTATGATAGTAAACTGAATATATTTGGGGTTTGGACTGTTGGACGGACAAAACAAGCACTTTAAATTAATAACTTAGATGGGCATTTGTCTCTGTTTTTCAATGTTTTATTGACTAAACGATTACTCGATTAATATTAATCAATTAATTAATTAATAAATTAAATTAAATAATCGGCAGATGAATGGAACAATTATTGTTAGTTGAAGCCTTGCATTCATTTATTTAATGTAACAACACATATCAGTGTTCTCACCTGTGGGTGGAAAAACCTAGACACTTCGCTTAGCTAAAACTTAGCTTAGGTCTTTTGTTTCACTGTCAGTTTGTGAAACATTTATGTAAGTAGTATTTTACATACATTAACTATGATTGTTGTCTTACCACGATACCTTGTTTTACCCTTCCTACTTTATTTATTGACAGAGTGGAACCGCTTTGGAGACTTTTCAAAGATGTGTGAGCAAGCAATGATTTGAGGGCCAACGTGATACCTCATGCTGAGTGTCTCTTTTGTTCTTGTTTGTGCTGTTTTAGAATGGTGTGATGCAGGCTATAAATGAGAGTCTATCAGCATGTACATTACCAGCCCTGGTTCAACATGCTTATCGCGTGGGCAGCCCTACTAGCAGTCTGAGCTACAGCCTTCCACTACAGGTCTTACAGCCCAGGTAAGTAACCTGTTTTCCCTCGCTGAACCATTTCACAATGCAAATGCACAAACATGAAACTTTCAGTGGATTATTTCTAAATGAAAAGTGTGCTTGGCTGAGTCTATCAATTAAAGAACAAGGCAACACTTACTTCAGAGCCAACACACCCAAACACTAAAAATGATGTCTTTCCTTATCCCCCTTAAGGCCCCACTTTTCTCTAGATGTCAGGACTCGAGCTCCTGAGGGCCTGTTGTTCTTTGCTGCTACAAGAGGAGGGCGCTCTCATCTAGCTTTATACATATCCAAAGGCAGGATCAGACTGTCTGTAGGCAAACAGAAGGAGATCTTCAACAGGGAAAAGTACAATGATGGAAAATGGCACTCGGTCAGTGGACTGATATCCTAATCGCATGCATTTTGAGACGATAGCATGAATCGCTTAATTCACATGAGAGAGCAAATCTAAATACATTTTTATTCCTAACGTGTTTAGTGAATATGTTGGCTGCAGGTCATATTCAGTTTGGAGAAGAAGAAATTTCGACTGGTCGTTGATGGTATCAGAGCCCAGGATGGTCAGCTGACAAATGCTGAGTTGACATCTATGCAGCAGTTTGTGTCACCTGTGTACCTGGGCAGTGCCCCAGAGTCACTCCACAAAGAGCTGAAGGTAATGTGAAACGTACTCAGGGGTCGGTCCACAAATCCATGTAAGCACACACAAACAATTCATTAACAAATTGTAATGTAAATATATATGCATATTTTACATTTTGTTTTGTTTTTAACTTTTAGACAAAGGCCCTTCCAAAACAAAGTGTGTCTGGGTGTATCCGCAATTTTAAAATGAACGGAGCGTCAATGTCAAATCCAACAATGAACCATGGCGCTGGCCCCTGCTTCGAGGGACAGACACAAAGAGGGGCTTATTTCTCAGGGAATGGAGCACATGTCCTTATCAGTGAGTATATCTCTCTGATAGCAATCTGGTAATACAACAGAAGCATTTCTAATGACCATAATGATCTCTATAAGCTTCTGCCGGTAGGAATTGCAGCCGCAACCACAGAATTCTCCTCCTCATAAACATGTCAATGGCACAAAATGCTTAGAAATAAAAAGATGTAGCTGTATAGACATATCAGAAAAGGTGCTAGTTATCAAAGAAGAGGGATGTAGGTGATTGAATGTGAATTTTAAATTGATTTCTCACAGGAATATTGTTGTGATTTCAGTAATGGCTTATTTTACAGGTTTAGCGCTTTCTTAATATTTTCCCCTCAATCCTGAAAAGGACTATCTCTTTATGTACAATTAAAATGTGATACTAATTATAATGATTTGAGAGAGTGAGAAAAAAAGGAGAGCACAATTGGGGATGTTATGAGCAGTTATGAATATCCCCAACATGTTCTTGAAAACTCCATTTAGGAGATTCATTTGACTCAGGTAAATATGAATGTAATTTTGAAATATTTATTGTGCATTTTTGTTGAATGTTCCGTGTGCTGGTAAGGTACAACCACACAGGAAGTCCTATTCTATATTTTTGCATGTTCAACTTACCTGCCCTGAATAAACAGTGCCTAAGTTACACACTACATATTAATTGGAATTGATTAATTAAGGAACAATGTCTCGCATTTTCTCTATATTTAGTACCAAATTAGACAGTCCTTTCAAAGACGCTTCCTAGAAATCAGTTGCACGTCAGTTTCTTTAAAGAAACTATGAGATCCGTAAGAAAGAGTCTTATTGATATATTCATTTCATGGCTGTCTCCTCATTTTTTCATACTTCACAGTCTAAATTATGATATCCAAGATAAAGCCAGTGATGACAACCATGATAGTATCTGCTGTCTGTATTTCAGACAACTCCTTTGTTGTGGGCTCCAGCTTTGAGCTGCTGTTTAATATTCGTCCACGGAGTCTGACCGGACTCCTGCTACATGTCAGTGATTCCAGTAGGAGCCAATATAGGCCTGCGACCGGCCACCATCTCAGTGTCTACTTGCTCAGAGGAGAGGTGAGATCTGATCACACATTAGTTATTTTTAGTCTGGCTAGATACCCCTAAAACTAAAATGTTTAGTTTGGGGAAAAACAAAGCCTTAGCTGAACTGAGTCTGGATTAAAAAAACCTCATCTCTTACTTACTATACATAAAATGCTGTGTGCTACTGTTGGACTCCATTTGATTGTTCTGGGGACTTAAACATAACAGGACATATCCCAAATTTAATCTAGACAGAAAAAGTTCTGTACATAAAGTGTGTTCCCCGTACACGTGATGATTAAAAGCATTGTGTTTGGACATGCTCCCATTTACAGGTAGTGGCGCACGTGAAAAATGGAAAAGGGGAATTCATGGTGTCGGTGAAGCCAAAAGCTTCTTTATGTGATGGAATGTTTCATAAAATTTCAGGTACAATGCACACAATCACTTCATTAAAGACGACATCATTCAAGACAAACTAAAACTGCTTTTAGAACCCATTAGAACACTAATTGTCTTTGCATTAAGTCACTGTCCATGTGTCTCTTAGTAATCAAGAGGAAAAATGTTGTGCAACTGCACGTGGACACAATAACATTACAAGATTGGACCATCGTCTGCCACTACAACTTTGACCAAAGACTCCTTGTACGTGGGTGGCATTCCTGTGAGTATTAATTTGTTATTCTGAAAGTTAATCTACTAATTTGGTTTAAATTAATTTTATTCACACATATC